TGTACAATGTCAGAGCACTGCCGCCGGAGGAGTGAATAGTGAAAATTGCCTCAATTGGCGTGCGACAACCTAGAAACGTAAATTTACTACAGACAGATTTCGCAAGGGTTCATAGAGCTTCATCGACGAATAGGAGGAGAGAGAAGGTGGGGATGACGAGCTCCGCTCCGTATTCCACTCGTTTAGTATACTCATTCCCGGTGCTTCACGCCATCGAGGTATGGCAGCAGATACAAACAGTGGCAAGTCAAATAAATGAGAAGAGATCATTGGTATATGTACCATGCGTTCATGCATACATATATGATGCAAATATGCGGACTTGATCGGTTATCTGTTTAGCATAGTTATACGCCGCGAGGTGATCGAGTCGTCAAATTTGACGTCGGACTCCCAAATGCCCCATAGGAAAATATAGTCCACGTTTTCTCAGACCGGTTCTAGGCCACAATTGTATTCGGAGGGGAAATACAAACTCTTCCCCAACCAGTGGCAGTGCTCTCATATTGAGGAGGCATCAGAGCTTCTAAACGACAAGAAAACAACGACCATCGTGAATGCTTTCACCTTTACGGTTGGCTGGCGAGCCATCTCGTTCTTAAACGAACAGTGTCGCGGCCGCATCGCGCTGTATGCAAAGATGGAAGCTAGTTCATGGCTAAATACGCGCAAGCTCTTGAACTTGAGGCATTCGGTTACAGTAGCTCCCATCTTGTGTCGGTAGTGAAGGAATGTCTGCTGCCGTATCCCTTCAGTCAGAAACACCGTTGGGGCTAGTGCGAGTCTTCAGGTCGTTTGAGCTGCCAGGTGAGTTGCGACTCCTCGGTCCTACGACGCCAAATTGGATTTGATATCATTTCTTGTTGTGGTTTTGTCCTAACTTCATTAGGTTAGCTGGGAGAATCGCTGCACTACTAACCAGTATTTCGATTCTTCTAGTAGCATAGGACTGAGGATCTTCCGTTGTTCAGAGCTTTTGGTTCGTGTCGTGACTCGACACTCAATGCCACGAGCTTCTGCCCGCCGTTTCCTCGCGGTGCTGCTGTCCTCTAGCCGCCGCTTGATGGAACGCAAAGCTGCCACCTTTGAGGCCACCGGAGTAGCTTCAAATGGCCTCTTTTTTAGAGTCTTAGCCTCCATTAACATGTCAATTGGCTGGAGAGTTCTGCAACTATCTT